GATCTTCAACAGTGATGAATTACTATTGGCTGGATCTTGTGTAACCGATAATTTTTGGTGGTGTTGTTGGGGTAGTTCTGGCTTTATCCCCAAATTTGGATTTCCGGGGAATAACGATAAGGCTAAAATGAGCGAAAAGAGGATATGGCGGATAATAATAATCACAGCAATAAGAGTAGATCTGGTTGTAAGGCGCATGTAAAAACAAGTAGCAATTAATTATAAATAAAAGCCTCCTGGCCCTTCGAGAAGAACTTATTAATACATTCTTATAATAATACGTGTAATAATGTCTTTATTAAACATACAATCTTATCTCTAAGTGTAATACATTCTAAAAATTTATACATTCATTAACTGTTACTAAGGCCCTTATTATCCTAAAACCATTCCGAGACTCTGCCTAACCTCAGCCAAATCTAACACTCCTTTTCCGACCTAAACGTTGGTTACACGAAGATACTTGAGTTGTCAGTGTAATCATGCATAAAATATATGTCAGGAAAGGAATAGAAAGACAAAACGTCTCTTTCCCTCTAATACACGAAATAAAGAATACAAACCTTCGTTCTTTTAAGTGCTACGTCGTTGCAATAGAAGTGTTGCTCAAATGTGAGTCTGTTAAAAGTGGTCTTGCCAACTTTGTGTTCGGGGCGGACGCTAAGAATCTGGACTGGATTTCAATGGGTTGTTTCCCATTTGTTAATTCAATAATAAAAGAAGGTCGTTAAGTTAGTTCAAATGATAAAGAGGAAGATAAATCAATTAAAATGTATACATACCATTATACCATTTCAATGCATGTGTAGAATTAGTTGAGAGTACTGTTAACAAGAACGACCTAATATATTGGTTCGTTTCCGATTTGAAAGAATCATGTCATAGCAAAGTTATGCCATTAAGTTTCATGTCGCAAAATGGTTGCGATGGTTATGAAAAAAACATTTATTAGAGACGGAAAATAAAAAGGAGGAGATGGTTAAAGCGATGAACAATGATAAAGTGGCAGTCAGAGTGATAAATTGTAGTAAAGAAACAATAAATAAAGTGAAAAGGAAAAGTCTACCTATTGTAACACTAGTCAAAATCAAAAAAATCGGGCATATATCTTATTCTAAACTGATATATGCCCGATTGTTATTATTGCGGTTTGCAAAAAAATGTGAAATTTGCAGATCAAAAAAAAAAAAGAAATCGATGATTTCTGATTTCTGATT